TTATAATATGACAATAGCCGAAAGTGAAAAACCAATCAGTAATAAAAGAAATCAAAATTAAAAACATGTCAATATAAAAAATAATGTCATAGAAGTTTGGCTCTTGAATTTGACATTCAAGCATGTGCTTCAATTAAACAATGTTGCCAATATTTTATGAATTAGCTTTAATTTTTAATAAAGAATTTACTATTCTGCTTAATAGATCGGGTTGGTTGTTATTTAATAGTTATTCAAAGCCTTGATATATAACTATATTTAAATATTTATTAAAAGCTGAAGACAATGCTCTTATTATTATTATTACTACTACTACTACTATTATTTATTTTGTAGATACAAAAAGCACCATGGGGTAAATTATTTTTCAGGTTTCCACTATTGGTAGCTTATGTTTGGTACTTGTTTGTTGCTGTTTAGAATTACTATTGGTAAATTCAAGAGAACACTTAACATAAGGAAAGAATTAACTTACACAGTCGGCTCTCGGACATCGTAGCGACGAGAATGGTACACTGTCAAATCCCAAAATCTCTGCTCTGATACCAACAATGTAACGACTGTTTTCTACTCATATTCTCATAAAATATGCATAGTAAAATACATGTAAAATAGCATAAAAGTTGGGCCCAAATTTTTTATTTTATTAAACATATACACTCTTTATACAAGAAGTAGTATCATGTACAAAAACATCAAAACAGGGTGGACAGTGTAGCCATTTCTCTTCGCTTGCCGACGCCCATCCGACTGTGTCCTCACCTAGGTCCTACAAAAACATAGAAAGCAACGAGGTGAACACAAGGCTCAGTAAGTAAATCCTCTACTCATCTATCCCCGTAACTCTCTCTCTCTGATTCTTTCTTTACAATTCTCATTTACACTCTCTTTTATAATCTCTCTGTTTCTCTTTATCGTAACTCTCTTGAGTAAGTCATAACCCCATCTGACCGGAGGCACGGCTGGGACTCACTCCCACTCTACGTGACTTGTACTCATTCTACCCGATCGGACTCGGTTATGCATAGATTCGGAACCTTTGGCCATGTGAGTGTATAAACTCTCTCTTGGGTAACTCGGGTATAGCCCTCATCCGCATGCACTCTCACGGGCTACACCACTTCTCTCTCTAATCTCATGCCGCTCTCACAATGCGGCATACATGCGGGAATACTCTACCCATACTCACGGGTTCCCCATCGCACAACCTACTCTATTATTTTGTCTAGCACTACATTTTCTTTGTTCTCTAGTGCTCATTCTCTCTCTTTTTTTTTTTTTTTTTTTTTTTTTTTTTTCCTACTCTTAGAGTAGCTTAAACTCAATTTCTCTACTCTTTCTCTATAGAGTAGCTCAAACTCAATTTCTCTACTCTCTCTCTCAAGCTATTACTCATACATATTATGCACATGGGTAATTTATGTACATTAATGCAATAAGAAATGCCAATATGCAATGTAGCAAGAATTAAGGTTCACAATTCATGCTCTAATCTCTCTTAGGCATTTCATCAAACAATTCATGTGCATGCAAAATCTCTACTCTAAGACTACTCTACTACATTCTCTAGCCATACAAATTGGGAGAAAACCCCATTAATAACTATCAATCCTATTAAAGAATAAACTTCCAATATGTTTACTACTACAACACTCTCTCAACTTCTTCTATCAACCCAACTCAACATCATAGAAGTTCAACATTTCTCATACTCAACATAATCAATAAGAAATAACTACTAATCTTATCTCATCTCATCTCAACAATATTAAACATACCACATCTCTACTCTAATGAATTCCTAAGCTCAAATGAATCTTAACCTCAATTTAAATTGGATTTACTTACCTTGTGAAAAAATTGACTTCTTACACTTTTCCTTTCCTTTGTGTCTTGTCTTCTCTCTACAACTCAACAACACAACAAAAACAACTATATAACTTCAACCAAAAACACTAAAACTCTCATCTAAAGCAAGAATTCTTACCTTAGATACTTTAGATGAATCTTTACCCAAGAACTGTCCAAAAAGCCCTTAAAAATCCTTGAAAGATTAAGGAAATTTGGAGAAAATGGAGAATGGAGGAAGCGTGGAATGGGGAATAAAAGGCTTTCAAAGACTAATCCCCCCTAAATATCTCATAATATACTCATTTTCCCATTTTGCCCTTGCTCTTTCTTGAAAATTTCATCATATCCTTTGATTCATTACAACACCCTCCATACTAACATAATCTCCATGAAATTTTCTTACATTTTACTCCCCACTTTTCCTACTAATTAGGGGTAGATGGTCAAATAGCTCCTAGGAAGAAAATATCTAAAACCATATCAAACCTCAACCGCCTCTTCGCCGCGACGAAGAACTTTCCGTCACTCCCGAAGAATTACAGCAGCTAACACCGTGGGCTCAACACCTCTTCGCCCCGCGAAGCCTGTAACCCCAAAATTCCTCTAAATTTAACCAATTTCAAGGCAATTACTCAATCAAACCAATACATCCATTCAACCAAGGGCCACACACCTAAATAACAACATGTATACTTAATCGAAGCTGAATCAATGAACATTTAAGCGATACAACGAATCTAACTGCGTACCTCAAGTGGAGCGTTACATCCTGACTTCTGGTAACTCGTCGAACGCTCAACTAGAAAGTGAATTATATTTTGGATATTATATGAATTAAACTTTAGGTGAAAAAGTGGTATTTTGAAACTTCTTGTTGAGAAAGTGTCATTAAGGCAAACATTGGGTGGGCAAAAGTCGTTTACTCTCCCTGTATTGAATTCCTGGGAAGTTCTTAAGAAAATTCCATGACAAATCAGCTACGTTTTGGAAATATAACCGACAAGAGTCAATTAATTGAAATTTAAACGACATAACAAGAAGAAAAAGGTAGTCATCAGCTAGCTAGCAAGCACAAGTCTATATAATCTATATTTTTGTGTAGAAAAAAAAATGCATACAGAAAGCTCCTTTGGAAAATATTTTTCCAAACCTTCCTTCGCTGAAAGTTTCAAGCTTCAACTACTTCACGTTCTTTACTCACTTCAAAACCCTAGAAGTAAACGTCTCATATAATTTTTTTACGCAGTGCTTGAATCAAGCTAAAGGTTAGCTAACCTCTCTTGTTGCTTTTATTGATTGACCACAATCAATTACCATTTTCTCTTCAGTTTTCTTTTTTTTTAAGAATATCATGTGTCTCCAATGCGTCCTTCTCGTGGTCGTGCACTGATGGCATCATTTACTCCGCCACCGCCGGAGGTAGTTGATGGGTGGCAACCTGCAACTGAAGATCAATCTGAGGGCTCGAGTTCGTCCTCAGCGTTGCACTGTTTGGAATAATTATGGTTGGTTTAATAGTTTGGTGATTGTTCTTCTTGTAATTGTTTGTTCATTTTTGGTAGAAAACAAAGATTCAAAAGCACGGCGCGAAACCATAGAGGTAACAGACGTTTCATATTTAGTCAATATTTCTCCTTTCCTGCGAGAATTAACTTTTGAATTTCATATCACTATACCACTAAGCAACATAATGATCAATTATAACAATTTTACTGAAACATTTGAAAGTTTTAAGTCCTAGACACGAACTTGTGAGCTTATGAGAAACTTCACTTATGAACCAGTTTAAATACTCTTTTTTAACTCTCTAGGTGCACTCAGCAGGTTCGGCAACAAGAACATTCCTGTAGCAAGTAAGTTGTTCATATTGGATTCCCATACATAAACGGCATCTCCTGATTTTATTTTTTATTTTTTTGCTCTATAGTTGGACCTTCTGCTGGATTGCAAAGCATCCACCACCCACTAACCTTGCAATGCCGAAAACATTTACTTATGAAGAACTAAAGGAGGCGCAATAATTTCTCCAAAGACAAATTACTTGGTAGAGGTGGTTTGGCATTGTCCACAAGGGTCCTCCGAGATGGAAACTGTTGCTATAAAACAGCAAATAGCTGAACGCAACTGGGGGAGCAAGAATTTCTGAAAAGATAGAAATCAGTAGCGGTATTAACCACAACATATTGTACATCTGGTTGGATACTGCATTTCGGAGACTCGGAGACTGCTTGTATACGAGTTCGTTTCGAACAAAAGCCTGTACTTCCATTGACATGGTTTGTTCTTTCTTTTATTAGATATGACTCATGGTTAAAAATTGAAATTATAGAAATCGGTGATTACTATTTCTGAATTCATTTGCTTTTATATGGAATTACAGGATTTTTTATTGTAGATTTAGAAACTGTTGCTGCATTTTGTGCATTTTAAACTATAATTAATACATTTGTCTCATCAGATTATGATAACATTTCAGAGAACGATAAAGAAATTTTGGACTGGAAAAAAAGATTCAATATTGCGGTAGGCACAGCAAAAGGATTGTTTCATCTGCATGATGCCTGTGAGTATTCTTTGATGTATACTGTTTTCTTAAATTTAAGCGAATTTAAGATGCAAGATATTGTTTTGAAATTTCAAATGGTATGATGTAAATGTTAATATCCTCAGCAGCTGGTAAGCCCAGGATCGTGCATCGTGATATCAAGTCAGCTAACATTATTTTGGATGAAAAATGGGAAGCCAAGGTATGATTTGTACTGCCTAATGCTTGAATATGTTTGCACTGCCTTTTTAAAAGTAATGGTTATTTAAGACTGCAGTTAAAGATTGAAATTAATTTCATTTCAGTGCTCAACATTGTGTGCTTCTTAGTTGGCTTCTATAATGATGAATGAATTGACTAGCATGTTTTTCCTCAGGTGGCAGATTTTGGACTTGCTAGGTCCATTTTAGCTGATAAACTCATATCAGCACTAAACCTACTGGCACTATTGGGTAAAATACACTGCTTTATATGTCATTTTTGTAAAACTGTTTTCTGTTGTTCATAACTTGTATTATATATATATATTTATATTGTCTCTGTACTTTTCATGATGATTTCTCTCCGAAGCGTTACCTATATCCGATTTTTTCACCTCCGGGATTAAGTTAAATGAGAAGTCAGATGTCTACTCCTTTGGAATGCTGCTTCTGGAGTTGATTACTGGATGCCTACCTGTGAATAAAATTAAGCCTTCTGATCCTGATTATGAAAACCTGGCTGTCAAGGTGCATATTCTGTCTCATCAGCTCCAGTCTGTAGGAATCGTGTGATAGAATAAGTTACCCCGCTTTCAGTTTTTTGTGTAAATAATTTGATCGGATTTTATTTAGTTTCTGCATTGGTAATTAAGGGTGCAAGAATGGAGTCAATTTTGCATTGTTTGCAGAGTAAATATAAACACGGACTTTCATGAACTTTTAGGCAAAACCGATGCTCAGAAAAGCTGTGAAAGACGACAACATAAACGTTGTTTACACCGATCCAAAGTTACGGAAGAAATCCGACAACAGAGAAATGTTTCGGGTGGTTCATTGTGCTGCTGCCTGTGCATGTTATCCAGCAAGGGATCGGCCGCAGATGACGGAGGTACTTAAACCAAGTGCTAAATAATTACTTTTAGCTCTCAATTAGGTTTTATGAACTGAACACTGGCTTATAAACTCTTTTGATTGCATTATATTCCAAGCAGATACTTGCAGCTCTGGAAGGAAATCTGGATGTGAAGCGGCTGACAGAAAAAATGAAAACAATGTTAGATGCAGAAGCAGCAGAACATATCTTAAGGGACAACAAGAAACTCTTGGAGATGTTAAAAGCAATCGCAGAAGAGGATCCAGCTAGCTCGATCGGTTAATGAAGGCCAGAAAATATAGTGTTTGGAACATCAATCAAATGATTTTACACTTTAATTAATCATTTACTTTCGAGAATTTATCAGACTCTTCTCCTGAGATAAAGTTGTTAAAAGTAATAAATTAAGTTGAGTGATGTCTGATCAAGATACAGTAAAATTTATTTTGTTTGGTTGCATGGCATGCATAGACTTTAGACAAATTGGCTTGGAGTCTCTTTTAATTGCTTAGCTGCCTGCCTCTTGTCGTCCTCTCTCATCATTCAATCAGACATTGTTACGTTCTCCATTTCTGAAAACAGTAGCTTACCCAGAATTTTGAATATTCAGCTACCACATATCACTCTCTCCCAGCTGGGAAAAAACCCTAAAAACTTGTGATCCATCTGTGCATGTATGCATGAATTAAATAAGGGTAATTTATAATATAATGAGCCTCTATTCTTTGTGATTGGATACAAGTTCTGTCTCAAAGTGTTTGATAAAATGTTCCTTTAATTTCTAGTGATATCATCAAACTACTTCCAAAACTCCCTAGTAAGTCACTCTTAATTTCTCGATATGTCGTATATGAAGATCCTTCGCCATCTGAATATCCTTCGCCAGATGATCCAACACCAGAAGACGATGCACCACCGCCTCCAGAAGCTACTTCCATGTTTCGCTGCTCCATCGTTTTATTATTTTTCCTCTCTTTCTCCGATTAATATCTAAATATCATACAAAATTACTTAACTTTGATTGAGTAATTTCTCCTCTATATATTTATTCTCTGATTAATTGAATTGGGTTAAGATGTAAAATATTTGCTATGCTTGGAAAAGTAGGGCTGACGTAGAGCCCTATCAGCATAAGTGGTCAGAGCTTAGGTAAGTCCAACAACCATTCAGACGCAGCCACGTCACACGCTGACACAAGCGGCATGCTCCTGCCAGTGCAGTAGGTGTGTGTCAGGCTGGTGAAAGGTTGGAGGAAATCCACGTGTCCAATCCCTGTAAGAGTCGAGTAAATCACTTGAGCAGGTGAATAACGGGACGCAAGGAAGGATTTGTACAGCAATCTGACCCACTCCTTGATTTAGTAATCATTACCTCAATTCATCCCACTATAAATAGAGGGTTCCTCTCACGTTTGTGGGATTGGCTAATTTCTCTCTAGAATAACATATATACTCTCTCTCTCTCTCTCTCTCTCTCTTGTAATCTCTTGTAAATCAGCTCGCTGAACGCGACCTGATTTCATATATTAATACGATACCAGTGGATGTAGGATTCGCTTATTTAAGCATCCGAACCACTTTAAAGAATGTTCTTCATCTTCTATTCAATTCAATACCCCCGTACACGTGTGTCATCTGAGTCAGCTCAGCATTTTTCACGTGCGTTTAGTTGGTGTCAAAATCACGCATTAATAGTTTGGCGCTAGAAGGAGAGTCTGATTTAATATTCGTCCTTCATCAGGAGATTCTCTGACTAATCGGTTCTATAATAGCAAATAGCTCGCCGATTCGAACCTGAGCGAACCAATCATAGTGAGGAAGAGATCCCCCAAGTACAAGAGGACACTTCTTTTGAAGTGCCTCTAGTCCCGCAAAATCTCGTGGGGGATATCACTTTGAGCTCATGACTTGATTTAGTTGTCATGAGCTACCTGGAGAGGTTCAACAATACTCTCCAAACGGTTAATCAAAGGCTAGAATATTTGGATCGGGGTCACGCCACCCGAACCAAATAAGGCGGTGCCATCGCCAAAAACGCATGCAGGTCGTATGAAAGCACGGAAAAGTGCGATAGCCCATGTCGCACGCACTGCAGCGCATCAAAGAAAGGGAAAGCAGGTGGCAAAAAACGGGCCTAGAGGCTCTGAGGGACCGGCGAACACCGACCACACCGCAGGTAGAATACCTGTGGCTTGGAGACTAGGTGACATGTCGCGGCCTGAGTTGTCTCGTGCCACGTCGTGCGAGCACTCCCATTAAAGTGCAAGGCAGAAAGATTCCCATTATCGCCAAAATGACGACTCCGATCGTCATCGCGTGGGAAGTTCCCACAGTCCACAGGTTAGTTCGCACCACCGCAGAGATCGGGAAGGTTCCCTAGACCATTCAGCGCCATCACACGACTCTAGTCAGTGTGTGTCAAGAGCGGCTAGAGCTGCCAGCTGAGGCAAGGAGGAATCCGACCTTTGGACTTTCCTCACTGTAACTGCAAGGGTCGAACCCACGTTAGGGATAGTAATCCCCAGATGGCTTCGTTGCCTCAGATTTAGGAGTTACAGCGAGCTCTGGATCAGCTAAAGGCTCAGCAAAATGAGTGAGGGCAGGTCGCAAAGGCGTCTCCCTTTTCTCCGGCTATGTTAGTCGCCCCTCTCCTATCCAGATTTAGAATGCCCGATATGCGGGCATTTGATGGGAATTCTGATCCGCATGATCATTTGTACGAATTCAACGACCTGATGAAACTTCACCAAGTTTCTGACTTGGAATAATGCTGATGCTTGGTAGTGACTCTTACATCTCATGCCAAGCGATGATTCAGGTCGCTCCCGATGGGATCAATCAACTCGTGGAATCAGATGAGCTCAACATTCCTAAGACACTTCCAAGAGAACAAGAAGTTCTCAATGCCTTTGAGCTACCTCAGCAACATAAGGCAAGAGAGGGATGAATCCCTCCAATCTTACATCGACAGATTCAACAGAGAGCTCCATAATGTAGCTCTCACTCCCGAAGAGTCCGTTCGGACTCTCATCATTGCGAGAGTTCGTCCACAGACATATCTGTGGAAGGAGCTGCAATCAGAGGACGATGTTTCTCTCACCCGCTTTCATAACCTTATGGAGAAATACCTTCGTATTGAGTACTCTGTGGCAGCGTTCAACCGCCACGACCCTGGTCTTTTGGGCAGTACGCCAGGTCGGGGGGGAAATAGGAGGGCTGATCGTTGATAGGCTAACGATGATCAGCGAAAAGGAAAGAAATAACGGCTTGAGCCCAAGAAGTCTTATGCTCCAGTTCCTCATCGCGATTGTGACAGGAATCAATATACCCATTTGAATGCATCTGTCTTGGCCATTCTTGACAAGTCAAAAGAGGTCGGACTGCTCGGAGAACCTGAGCTCATGAAAAATCCCCCCTCAGCTAGAAACAGTAAAAAGTATTGTCTTATCATCGGGACAATGGGCATCACACCGATGAGTACCGATCTCTCAATCAGGCAATTGAAGACCTTATCAAGTAGGGGCATTTCAAAGACTATGTTGATAACTTTGCTCCCGTAAGGGAGAAAAATCGAGAGAAACCAGGCAAGAAGCATCGTGATCTCAAGGGTATCTATAGCATGGGGATAATCTTTGGGTGACCACACCTCGAGGGAAACTCGTGAGGTGCCCAAGAAAAATATACTCGCGCAGCCCATCACGACCCTATCCGTGTGATGAACACGACCCAGTGACCATCAAAGGTTCACAGGGAGGAGGAAATCACTTTCTCCAAAAAAGACGCAGTCTGATTGCATCATCCCCATGATGATGCTCTCATCATCACACCCCAAATAGGGCGCTGCGATGTCCATAGAATGTTGGTGGATAACGGAAGCGCTGTGAACATCCTGTTCTAGCGAGCTTTCGAAAGAATGAAATTGGATGAGGCCGATCTGAAGCCTGCCTCTATCCCCCTATATGGTTTTACGGGGGATCACTTGATCCCCAAGGGAACGATCTCACTTCCAGTCACACTGGGTGACTCCGATGAGGTGACCAGGGTCACTGAATTCTTGTTAGTGGACTGCCCTCTGCTTTCAATGGCATCCTAGGGCGACCTCTATTAAGAACTTCAAGGCAGACACTTCGATCTACTATCTCAAGATGAAGTTTTCCACCCCGACAAGGATAGGGGAAGTAAGCGAATCTCAGCGCGTATCTCGCGACTGCTATGTAAGGGCAGTACAGATGGTATGCAAGGGGAAATGGGTCTCGTGTGGCATTCCCAAATAGGAAATGGTGATCAGTCGGATCGAACCACAGCCTGGCCCAGCCGAGGATAATATGGATCCTCGTATTTAGGAATGCCCTTCCAATAGGCCAGTTGAGGATCTATCGGATATGTCAGTCGACTAGAACGAGCCGAGCCAAGTGTTGAGGATTGGAAGCAATCTCAACCCCCAACTCGTTAATGACCTGACCAGCTTCTTCAGAGAAAATATCTATGTGTTTGCATGGACGCATGCTGATATGGTTGGGATCAGCCCAGACATCATTTGCCATACCTTGAACATCGATAGTGATGCCAGGCCAGTCCGCAAGAAAAGAAGAGCGATGGATCCAGAACGATATGCTGTCTTGAAAATCGAAGTAGATAATCTCCTTCAAAATGGGTCCATCCGGGAAGCATTCTACCCGAGCTGGGTTGCTAACTCGGTTCTAGTAAAGAAGCCCAACAGCAAATGGCGGATTTGTGTTGACTTCACCGACCTCAACAAAGCCTGCCCAAAAGACAGTTTTTCCTTACCAAGGATCGACCAGCTCTTTGATGCCACCTCCAGCCACGAGCTGCTAAGTTTTATGGACGCATACTCGAGATACAATTAAATTTCGATGTATGCACCGGACAAAAAACATACCTTATTTGTTATAGATCGGGGGTTGTACTGCTATAGGGTTATGCCATTTGACCTGAAAAATGTTGGAGCAACTTACCAGCGGATGGATAACCAAATGTTTTCCGAGTAGATCGGGATGTCGATGGAAGTCTATGTTGATGACATGTTAGTCAAGTCGCATGTCGCTTCAGATCACATAGCACATCTTGTTGAGATGTTCGACATCCTCTGGAAGTACAAAATGAAGCTTAATCCTTTCAAATGCTCATTCGGAGTATCCTCGAAAAAATTTATGGGGTACATGGTTAACCAAAGGGGAATAGAGATCAACCCCGAGAAAATACAAGCTCTTCTCGACATGAAAAGCTCATCCAACCGAAAACAGGTTCAGAGTCTCAACGGGCA